GTACTATACCAGCTACTAGGAAGAAAATTATCCCACCTGAAACCAGGACAATGACACACAACTTTTGTTGCATTTCTCTCCTGTCCTTCTTTTATCTCTTCAATCTTTATTAGTAGAGGGTGAGGCAGTCCTATCAGCAGTTCTGGAACCAACTACAAAATTTAGAAGTGAGACAAAAAGTGGATAAGAGGGAGAGAACATTACAGCACTGTCTTCCAGATTACAGAAGGAAGGTTGCCCAGAACTGGACATGTTAGCTGTGTCAGCATTGCTAACTATGCAGGTCTAGGGAGGCGTTATCAGACCACAGGCCAAGTAATACAGTGTGGCTTGTGTCCACACCACTTAGGACTGTCTCTTTCTAGAGCACAAGACTGCATTCTTTTGGTGTACGCCTTGGCTGGATGTGTACTCTTGATATTACGTGAGTCTTTTTTTAATGCATTTTTTCAGTCTGCAATAATATGAAGAATGCATCACACCCACCAAAATGAACCCAAAGTGCTGTGCTATATGCCCAAGGGTGTTAGAAGGATAAAGGGAATGGGAAGCTTTCTGGAGCAAGAGAGTGGAGAGTGGTGAAGCTTACACATTTTCAGTGATACTGTTTTTTTTGGAATGGTCCCTGTAGTACACCTGTTTATAGAACCACACGAGTCATCTTGGAAAGAACTAGTAGGAGCGATCTGAAACAAACCTGGGAGTAAGATATTAGTTATGGGTCCAATGGTCAATATGCATATATAAAAGGAGATACACACACATTTATCTTGTGTAACTATTAGGTCAACCTTAAACTAACTGTAGACATAAAAAAAGAAAATGAGACATCACTTCCAACTTGCAGAGGTATATTCAGCTCCTGTATAAGATGTATGTTTTCTTTAAGAGTGCATTACTTTCACCAGAAATTTGTTCTGTGTTATAGAGTGTATTCATGCAGTTGATGTTAAGATGATTACATAATTTTAAAAACATATCTAGTTGCAAGAAGATAATCTCTGGACAAACAGATCTCTAGAGATCTAGACCACAGTTTGGTCTAATTTTTTACAGTGGAAATTCAGATACAGCTGTTACAGGTCAATAATGTGGATGTTAGAAGTAAATTTTTAACTAAGAAAACCAAGCTATACGGGTGAAATAGGAAAAATAATGATGATTGGTATAACAGAGTGGATTGTTGAGCTTGTCATCATCAGCTCCCTCAATAGAAAATTAAGTGACAGAGGCACTTTTTGAGTGTGATTCATGTCCCCATAAATATTTTGGCATGATTCATCTTCCCATAACCATCTAAAACAGGTCAGATGAATCATGCCTTAAACATCCCCATAACTTTCTACTGTCAAAAAAAAGAGAATATGGTATTTAGCTGAGGTGGTAGCTGAGATGAATCACCACCCTGTATACTTGTGTGATAGGTGTAATGAGCTGATGGGATCTTTTGCTGCCTTCTTCTCCGTGGGTTTTGGGTTTGACATTGTCATTATTTAGTAAACATCACTGTTTTCATCAGCATGCAGACATTCAAGGTTATATACGAACTGAATAGTATAAATTGGAATGCTCCATAAAGAGCCATATACTTTGCGTTGCAGAGGTTAAATGTGTATTAAGAGCTGACATTGCAGGATATCTTACTGTAGGAGTATAAGAATATAAATCAGGTTCTCATGCAGAGTCATTAAAAAAAAGCAAAAAAGGGCAAAATGTTTCCACATATCCTACTAGGTTCCACAGGAAATAGTTCATTTTGCTCAAGCCTGGCTATCACCAATGCTAATCAGACTGTGAACAGATAAAGGACCTCTTTGCACAACTATGAAGCATGTTGGTAAGATGTAAAGGATGTTCACTTCAGAATTGTTTTCCACAGTGTTTTCACTGATTGGTTTCTTTTTGTCAATATCCACATTCTGAAGTGCACTAGTAGTTGTCTTTGGATTTGTAGAGGTAGCAAAAGACTGAAAAGGGTGAATATATATATATATATATATTTGTTAAGTAGAAAAGGGGGAATCTAGAGCATTTTAGGCTCAAATTATGTAGAGAGCTTAGTGGTTCCCAAAGTAAACGTGAGTTAGAGAAGCAATGCTATTCCAAAATAGGTTAACAAAACATTTTTGAAGTACCTAGTCAGGCAGAGCTATTTATGACTTTGTAACTGCTAAACATATAGTACTGTTTAACATCTTTGTTGGCAACATGGAGAGTGGGATTGAGTGCACCTTCATCAAGTTTACCGATGACACCAAGCTGTGTGGGGCAGTCAACACACACTGGAGGGAAGGGATGCTGTCCAGAGGGACCTTGACAGGATTAAGAGGTGGGCCAGTGCAAACCTTATGAAATTTAACAAGGCCAAGTGCAAGGTCCTGCATGTGGGTCGAGGCAATCCCAAGCACAAATACAGGCTGGGTGGAGAATGGCTTGAGAGCAACCCTGAGAAGGACTTGGGGGTATTGGTTGAGAAGCTGAACATGACCTAGCAGTGTGTGCTTGCAGCCCAGAAGCCAACTGTGCCCTGGGCTGCATCAACAGAAGCATGACCAGTAGGTTGAGGGAGGTGATTCTCCCCCTCTACTCCACTCTCGTGAGACCCCACCTGCAGTATTGCATCCAACTCTCGGCCCCCCAGCTTAAGAAGGACATGGACTTGTTGGAGCAGGTCCAGAGGAGGGCCATGAAGCTGGTCAGAAGGTTGGAGCACCTCCCATATGAGGCCAGGCTGAGAGAGTTAAGGTTGTTCAGCCTGGAGAAAAGAAGGTTCTGGGGGATCCTTAGAGCAGCCTTCCAGTACCTGAAGGGGGCTACAGGAGAGATGGGGGGGGATTCTTTGTCAGGGAGTGTAGTGGGTATAAACTGAAAGAGGGCAGATTTAGATTAGATATTAGGAAAAGATTTTTGACTGTGTGGGTGGTTAGACACTGGAACAGGTTACCCAGAGAAGCTGTGGATGCCCCATCCCCAGAAGTGTTCAAGGCCAGGCTGGATGAGGCTTTGAGCAACCTGGTCTAGTGGAAGGTGTCCCTGCCCATGGCAGGGGGGTTGGAACTAGATGATCTATAAAGTCCCTTCCAATCCAAACCATTCTATGTTTCTGTGATACAGCTTGTCCACTTAAGCACATAATTTGGGCAATTTAGACTTCCCTTTTGAAGTCTTTAGTGTTAAGTTTGACTACATAGAGGCAGAATGGGCCCCCTTTGACTGAAAGAATTGGGACTGTTAATTTTAATACAAAGAACAGAAATTTATAACAGTTTTCAGAACTAAGATTCATCACCTAGCTTTCCTGAACTAATCATCCTCTTTCTCTGTATAAGCAGAGGAGAAAAGCAGTGTGATTCATCTTATTTCCATGTGGACACCTAAACTAGGTCACATTAATCATGCCATTGTCCTCTCTACTGATTAGCTCAGATGTAGACTCATCTACTTTGGATGCATTTGGATGCATTTGGTCTTTGGAGATGTCTACAGTCAGGTGGGGAGGATCTAATTTGAAATACCTAGAAGGAAGAAGCAGTAAATATTTTTTTCTCATTGGTCAGTGCAAATGAGAGTATGGCGAAGCACTGGAATGATTTTATTGGAGGTTGTGGCCTCTCTATTACTGTACATTTTTTAAGAATAGGTTAGACAAAAATGTTAAAATATGAGACCATAAATCTAGTTGAACCTGCTCTGGGTTCAAAGGATGGACTAGAGGTCATCTCATGTTTATCCTAGCCCTGTGTTTCTGTGTGCTTTCATTATTTAGTGAGAGATATTCCAGTCCTACATAAGCTAGCATGCACAGCTGGAAAGGGAATGAGGAGGTAAATATCCAGTTTTTAATGATGGAAGAAGTGCGTATACCTTGTCACATTGCATGATGGGGCAGGTCACACAGCAGGGGGGAAATCACAGTGGGATTAGAGTTTGGAAGAGATACATATTTCCAGCAGCTGTTATCTCCAGCTCCTTCCTGGAAAACTTGACATGCCTTGAGAACGTGTGAGTCAGCAGTGTTGCAGCAGGAGTTGCAAAACAGGGATTAGCAGAGCATCTACAAATAGTGGTAGGGTGAAAGGCTGTTAGCACCTCCAGTAAAACTGTATAGTAAAAGTAGATTATGTACTGGTTATAATCATGATCTCTCTGAAAGTAAAAAAAAAATGTGGCATTTAAAAAGACAAAATCTCTTTGGTATATTTGGAAAGAATTTGGTGAAGTTTAAAGAGTATTAAGATGTAAAGCTTAAGGGAATAATTTGATGAACCCTTATTTACATAATTATTTGTACTACAGTAAACATAATTGATTTATTTTTAAATCTAATTTCTGTTATTCTTTGGTCCATTGCGTGAGCTCTAACTAAACATTAATAGTCATTAAAAAACATCTTGCCAAACAAAACCAGAAAATAATAGGTGAGATGGTCTCATGAAAAAAGTTGGATTGCTATTAAAGAAGGGGATTTCAAAAATTTTCATAGAGTAGACTGCATCTTGAAAACGTACATAGACTATATAAGGAAATCCAGTCTATATGAACAAATCCAGGTTTTGGCTTCTTGTTCATTTGTGACATGAAGCCAGAGAGCTGGACTGAAGGATCAGATGGGATTTACCCCTGGCCAAGGCCGTTTTACCTGATACAAGCTGCAAGTGCAGTAGCTCCCCCGTAATGTTACATGGAAGCAGGGGTAGGCAACTCAAGAGGACTACAAGGATATTGTGAGGTTATGCAGGGAGAAAATCAGAAGGGTCAAAGCCCAATTAGAACTTAATCTGTCTACTGTGATAAAGGACAATAAAAAATATTTCTATAAATATATTAACAACAAAAGGAGCAATAAGGAGAATCTCCATCCCCTCTTGGACACACACAAGTCTACAGGGCCAGATGGGATCCATCCAAGGGTACTGAAGGACCTGGTGCAAGGGCTTACCAGGCCCCTTTCGATCATTTATCAGCAGTCCCAGCTAACTGGGGAGGTACTAGTTGACTGGATGTTAGCAAATGTGGTGTCCATCTACAAGAAGGGCTGGAAGGAGGATCCAGGGAGCTACAGACCTGGCAGTCTACCCTTGGTGCCAGGGAAGGTTATGGAGCAGATCATCTTGAGTGCCGTCACGTGGCAGGTGTGGGACAACCAGGTGATCAGGCCCAGTGAGCATGGGTTTATGAAAGACGTGTCCTTCTTGACTAACCTTATCTCCTTCTGTGACAAGGTGACCCACTTAGTGGATGAAGGAAGGGCTGTGGGTGTTGTCTACCTAGAGTTTAGGAAAGCCTTTGTCACCATTTCCCACAGCATTCTCCTGGACAAACTGGTTGCTTGTGGCTTGGACGGGCGTATGTTTCTCTGGGTAAAAAAACTAACTGTATGGCTGGACCCAAGGAGTTGTGGTGAATGAAGTTAAATCTAGTTGGCAGCTGGTCACAAGTGGTGTTCTCCAGGGCTCAATATTGGGGCCAGTTCTGTTTAATATCTTTATCAGTGATCTGGAGGAGGGGATTGAGTGCACCCTCAGCAAGTTTGCAGATGACACCAAGTTGGGTGTTGAATGTTGATCTGCTTGAGGGTAGGAAGGCTCTACAGAGGGATCTGGACAGGCTAGGTTGATGGGCTGAGGACAATTGTATGAGACTGAACAAAGCTGAGTGCTGGGTCATGCACTTGGGTCACAGCAACCCCCTGCAACACTACAGGCTTGGGAAAGAGGGACTGGAAAGCTGCCTGACGGAAAAGGACCTGGGGGTGTTGGCCAACAACCAGCTGAATATGAGCCAGTAGTGTGCCCAGGTGGCCAAGAAGGCCAACAGCGTCCTGGCTTGTATCAGAACTAGTGTGGCCAGCAAGACTAGTGAAGTGGTTGTCCTGTTGTACTTGGCCCTGGTGAGGCTGCACCCCGAATGCTATGTTCAGTTTTGGGCCCCTCACTATAAGAAAGACATTGAGGTGCTGGAGCGTGTCCAAGAGGAACAACGAAGGGGATGAAGGGTCTAAGAGAACAATTCTTCTGAGGAGTGTCTGAGGGAACTGGAGTTATTTAGCCTGGAGAAAAGGAGTCTGAGGGGAGACCTTATCACTCTACAACTACCTGAAAGGAGGTTGTAGCAAGAAGGGAGTTGGTCTCTTCTCCCGAGTAGCAAGTGATAGGACCAGAGGGAATGGCCTCAAGTTGCTCCAGGGTAGGTTTAGATTGGATATTAGGAAAAATTTCTTCACCGAAAGGATTGTCAGGCATTGGAACACACTGCCGAGGGAAGTGTTTGAGTCACCATCCCTGGAGGTATTTAAGAGATGTGTAGATGCGGCACTTAGGGACACAGTTTAGTGGTAGACTTGGCAGTGTTCGGTTAATGGTTGGACTTGACAGTCTTAAAGGTCTTTTCCAACCTAAACAGTTCTATGATTTTATGATTCTAAGTGACAAAACTACCAGCAACAGTGGATCATTTAAAATGTCTTGTTTAGCTCTTAGTTTCTAAAGAATGGGTTATGAGTTGATGTAGAAATGAATTCTATTAAAATCAGGAGTCATACTCGGTAAGAAAAGGTGAGTCAAAGTAGAGTGGACTGTTCCAATCCTTATCAATATTTGATCCTAAGATGTTACAATCAAATGCATCTATGCAGAATATTCTGTACAACTGTCATAAGACAAGTATTTTTCCCAATACTTTCTCAGTGTTGAAATTTCTTCTGAATTTCACTTAATTTTTTTTAAGTTTATATACTAAAACGGTGTGTCTTTTCCTAATGAGTTTAGAGAACTGGATTTTTATGCTGTTTTCGATAGGTGCTGTTTTCCTCTTGTAATTGAGAAGAGTGTATGTGTCTGCCTGATTATCTACCTCCCGAGAGTTTCTATCTTGTCAAGTTAGAAATTTTTTAACCTATCTGAAACTTGGAAGTGCATGCTTCAAATTCATTCCTTTTTACAGCATTCTGCAAACTAGGTACTGAAATACATAGCGTAAACCAAAATGCTTTCGCATCACCTACGTTAAGCAGAATTTTGCACATATTGCTAATCACTAATAGTGATAAGATCGGTAATCACTACTATACCAGAGCTATGCAGAGGGAAATACATTTTTTTTCTTCTTGATTTCCAACACTTACAGAGAAACACAGAACTAACTTCAACATAATACAGATTCTGTGATAAACTTCATTGTACCTGAATCTTCAATGGAAAACAAGGATGTTTGTCTAAGAAATTCAGCCTTAAAAGACATTTTTTTCCTCTCTTTTTCTCAATAAAAATGAGGCGAAGTGTGATGAAGTGAAAGATAATAAATGCATCCTTACCAAACTCTTTGGAGGCTCTTTGTAACCCATGACATGTAGTCATATGTTAAGTAAACAAATGCCTCAAATTTATTTGACCAATGGTTGTGACGATTTTTAGTGTGGAATTCCTCAGATTATCAGATGCAGGAATTCACCAAACCTCAACCAAAACTTAGAAGAAAGCTGTCGGATTAAATATTCAGTGATACAAAATGAATATATTTACTTTTTTGATGTGCAGGAAATGTTGATCTCTAGTGTTGCATCTGCTAGCACCTGATTATCATTTCACTTCAACATATGTAAATCAAAAACTATCTCGCTGGAGTTGAGTGAGTGTTTCCAGAGTAAAACTGGGATAACTGGAAACAAAAAAATCAGGTTCTAGACTTTCAGATATAAAGACAAAAGCTTCAGCTGATATCAGTCATCATCGTAGCTTTATGGAAATCTTCCTGAGTTTGTTCTTTCTCTTCATATGTAATTCCTCTGTCATTCCCTGATAATTACTTTTCATAAAGCTACCATGTAAAGTCATGATGCTCAGGCAGCCCTCTGGAAACCAGGTTTATACTTTATTTCATTCTAAGAAAAACTCATACCCAGCTTTGCAGAAGGAAAGAGGATTTGTGTAAATTTGTCATTCATCTACCATTAAGACAACTTTGTAGAAGCATGATCATCTCAGCTCTTTATTCACATAAATTACAGTATCGTATTATGTTTGATGACACTTTCTCTTAATACCAATTCCTTACAGAAATCTTAGGGATTCACCTTGACTAAATGTAGATCTTAGGATATCTGAGTGATTTGTTGTAACATTCCTTTATAGTCAAGGAAGAGGAACAAGCACTTGCAGAGGGCAGTTCATCTCAACCAAAAGTAGTCATCGAAAGTCAGAGAGTTGAATTATGCCTTAGAAGTGCTTGTTTCTTTCACCTGACTTTTGGGGAGCTTCAGGTGACTAGCTCACTTTTATACGTTTGCAGTTATGTGAAATGAATTTTACGATTCTAATCAATCATTTTTCTGACCCTTCTATCTCAACATCATCCTACTATAAATTCAAAATTTCCCTTTTCAAAAAATACCCTTTTCATACACGTGAGATGACTTGCCTTCCTTATTTATTATGGCAAATGTGCAAAAATTCATATAATAAATCATTATCAATTTATTGTCCTTTTGCAAACCATGCACAACATTTTACATCAAAAAGATTTTCAGAGAACTTCATTATATGGTACCAGTTTTAAAGCTGTGATCTCCTGGAATGTTCTGCTTGCAACTCTTAGCATATTTCATTCCAAGGTAGTAAGCCATATATTCAGAATTTAGGAGTATTTTCCTCCAACAAGAAATCATTGCCTGTGAAGTACACAGAACAATGCAAAATCAGAAAGAAGGCAAGCAGAATCCAAGAGGAAAAAAAGGTTTTGGTGGAGGTCTATTTATTGCTAGTTATTTATTCTCCTGGCACCATACAAAACAGTCTGCTCTTGTTGCTTCCAGAATGGCAAGATGAATGGTACCATAGTCATCACTATTAAAATGATAACAACTGACTGAAAAAAAACCCTCAACCCATTATTGGATGAAAAGTGGAATCACTGATTATAACTCGATAAAATAACCATGTGATAGTCATTCATTTACATGGTTATTATTTGTTCATTCATTTATATGCCAGTCATTCAATATTAAAACATCATCTATCAAGGTATGGTTAAATATTTTACTTTACTGGAAAAAAGTTAATTTTATTACAAAATTTTATAAAAAACAAATACAAGACTTGGAGATCATAGTGTCAGATCAGCTAAACATGAGTCCTGTTGCAGCGCTGGCACTGTTCTTGAATGTATAAATAAGAAGACGGAGAAGGAAAAAAAAAACAAATTTGTTGATTTAGAATGCAAATTCTACATGGCAAAACAGTCAGTATCAGGATTACTAAGAAAAGATGAACGCTGAAAGATGATGTTAATGTAGGTTATAAAATAAGAATGAGAAGTACAATTATCAATTCAGACTAGCAAAAAGATGTAGCGCAATCATGAGGGAAATTCATCTCACCTGGCTTGGGGACATGTTTTTCTAGATTCCTTAGCATATTAAATTTTCAAATAAAAGTTAAATGATTTTTTACATTTGTTAAATTACAAATGAGTTTCTTATGAGTCTTCACAATTTCATTATGGGCAAGAAGGAGAGCCCACCTTACATATGTATCTGAGAGAATTTTCTGTTCCTCTGATTAATATTTTAACAGTGCAACAGTTCTTTTTACTGTAATTGCAGTAACACTAATGCTTATAGCCCAAATTATCTATGACTGCTAAGACCTATTAATATTCCAGCTAAAACTGTCATCCACCAACTTGCTAGTGTCACTGCTTTTCTCTGGTGCTATGTTCATGCCTCCTGTGCATTGCCTAGAAAAATCATCAGTCCTGAGGTCTGTGCTGGGAGGAGTATGATGCCTCTGGTGAAGGTTTCTTCCATGGTGGTCTTGGGCCCTCTCAGGGTTAATTTTGTTTGTTTCAATCCTGTATTTGGTAATGGGGTACACTCTTACCTACCCTCTGGGTCCTTGGGTTTAGTTACACCATGATTACTTCATTTTTTTTAGTTTAATTACATGTGTAATATTTTAAAGAGAGTTACGCAGTTTCACAAAGCTAAACCCCCCCCAACCAAACAACAAAAAAAACAACTGAAAAAATTATAGTAGAACTAAACCAAACTCAAAATCACAGGATATGCAAGAAACTCCTGATATCTGAGTAATTTGCCATTGAACACTGGAGAATGTAGGCAATGGTCAACTTATTCTAATTCAAGTTTCTTTATTTTTTTTTTTTCCAAAGAGAGCTAAAATAAATTTGAGACCAAACAAGACCTGACAAATTCTGAAAGTCTGTTATGAGTAGTTATGGCTACAAAGTCTGAGGTGTATCAATAACACTTGGCAACACAAAGTTGGTTGGGCTACAGCTTTGATCTATTCTCTTGTTTTCTTACTGACTTCAATGTTGAGTCTGTAAGC